AAGTGATTCTTCTGCCTCAGCCTCCTGAGTAGCTGGGATTACAGGCATTCGCCACCATGCCTGGCTAATTTTGTAATTTTAGTAGAGACGGGGTTTCTCCATGTTAAGTCAGGCTGGTCTCGAACTCCCGACCTTGGGTGATACACCTGCCTTGGTCTTCCGAGGTGCTGGGATTACAGGTGTGAGCCACCATGCCCAGCTGGGCAAGTTCTTTAATATCTCTGTCTCAGATTCCCATCCAGAAAGAGGCCAGGTGTTTATGGGGGATATAATTATTCTTCCTTTTCTTAAACTCTTAACATTCAATTTCTCAGGATATAAAATAAGTTTAATGTTACATGCTGCTATCTATCTATCTATCTATCATCTATCATCATCTATGATCATTTATCAGCTCTATATCTATTTATCATGTGTCATCTACATATTTCATCTACATAAACAGTTAAGCAATGTCTTCTTCTGATTCGTTATTTCTCTTAATGCCACAACCCTACAAAGTAGGTACCTATGCAGTGAGCTATACTCACACCAGTGCACACCAGCCTGGGGAACAGTAAGACACTGTCTCTATCAAACAAACGAACACCCCAAAGCAGACAAAACAAAACAACAAAAACAAAGTGTGTACTCTTACCCAATTTTACAGATGAGGAAATCGAGGCCCTGAGAGATGGCTAATAAAACGTCACATGGCTAATAAAACGGCAGAAACAGGATTTAATCTCAGGTCTGTCTGGCTTCGGAGGCTTGCTCTCTTCTCCATAGTGTGTTGTGTTTGAAAAGACACTGATGATAAAGTACGTTAAATACTCCTGTGGTAGTCGATTCTAACGATGAAATGGCAGAGCAGGATCCAAGGTAGGATTGGCCCATCCAGTTAGTTTACTCTCCATTTGCTTTGAAAGTGATCTTTAGATACTGGAAACAGAAGTCAGTCTTCTCCAGTAATGACTATAGAAAAGCTGTGCACGCCAGGCGCGGTGGCTTACGCCTGTAATCCCAGCACTTTGGGAGGCCGAGGTGGGCAGATCATGAGGTCAAGAGATCAAGACCATCTTGGCCATGGTGAAACTCCGTCTCTACTAAAAATACAAAAAAAAAAAAAAAATTAGTCAGGTGTGGTGGCACGCGCTTGTGGTCCCAACTACTCAGTAGGTTGAGGCGGAAGAATCGCTTGAACCCAGGAGGTAGAGGTTGCAGTGAGCCAAAATTGTGCCACTGCACTCCAGCCTAGTGACAGAGCAACACTCCGTTTCAAAAAAAAAAAAGAAAGAAAAAAAGAAAAGCTGTGCACACTAGCTACATGGTTGGTATCTTTGCAGACATTCTTCCTGGCTCGAGCTACGGGAATGGCACAGAGCCCTGAAGCATGGGAACAGCAGGTATGGCTTCCAGGGGCACCACTAGTTCTTTATGCTTCAATGTAGCTTCCCTTCGAAGCCATGGTTTCTTTCATCTATAGAATAAGAGATGATAATTTGCTCAGTGATTGCCATGGGGGTTAAATAAGAAACACAGATGAATGCATTTGGAGGAGGCACATGTAAATGAAGTTTAACTCACTATGGAGTGAATCTGTATATTAGGCAATCTCTGAGTACTGGGATACAGTGATAAATAATGTGCCTCTCATGCCTGTCGGGATGGTCTTTCAGAGAAAACAATGCAAAAATGGCAGCGTGGGCAGGCTATAGAGAAGGGAGTCATTATCTGGTGTTTGGCTGGACAGTTAGATATGGGGAAGCCTTCAAGGGATATATTGCGAGCTAAGGGGATGGGAAGAGGGGAGAGGGGAGAGGGGAGAAGCAGTTCTTCAGCCTGGATGGGATGTGGGGATAATGTAACTGCACCAGTCTTCCCTGATGCTGCAGCTGTTCGGAGATCCTTGCCTTCGGCCTCGTTCTTGGCAGAAAGTTTGGCCATAAGTGGTGCTGTGGAAAATATCTCTGTGGCTAATGAATCAGTTCATTAATAACACTTAAAACAATGAGAAAAACCCTTTGCTGGTTTGTTCCCATCACAAATGGGCATCACATATTGCCTCATCACATCTTTCAACCCAGTGACCCAGGTCTCCTCCTTGTTGCTGGAATCACAGTCTTCACATTTCTCAGGATGTGTCTGGAACTTGGTGACCCTTAACAGATGTACTGTGTGCTATCACTAGGGTGATGAATGATGCCAGATGTAGATTTTACCCCTGCTGTTCTCCAGGGACTACTATGATAGAGCCTTCTTAGAATCTTAAGGCTGTTGAATCATAGCTGTGGGATGTGGGGCATATTTTCTTGATAACTTATATAGGAAGTATACAAGTATAGGAGTATATGGACTCAGTTTTCGTGCCTATGAAAATTGGGATATATGACCTCCCTGAAAGGGTATCTGTGAAGAATCGATGAAATCCTGTGCAAATGCTTGGCATAAAGTAGATTCTCAGTGAATGTTACTATCCTCCAACTTTTCTTTTTTTGCATCCGAGGTCAGCAAACTATGACTGGCAGGCCAAATCTGACCGTCTACCAGTTTTTGCAAATAAATTTTATTGGAACATAGCCACATCCCCATTCATCTAGGCATCCTCTGTGGCTGCTTTTGTGTACAATGGCATAGTGTACAGCTATGACAAAGACCAGATAAGTCATTCACCCACAAAGCTGAAAATAGTTACTATGTGGTCCTTTACAGGATTTCTTTGTCAACGCCTGTTCTACATAGTAGCCTTATCTCTGTGCCCCTTTCTTCCCAAAATTTCTCTTTATCAGATTAAATGCAACTAGTGACTTAGACCACCACTCCTATGTCAAAATGCTTGATCCCTTTGGCTGTCATCCGAATGCAATCCTGTTGATTACAAGTCCTTTGTACATGACTCCTGGTACTGCATAAACTCCGATCCTGCTGGCTTTGGCCTGACCAAATCTGAGAAGGTGTCTGGAAGAGTCCCTGTACAGATAAGCATGCTTTTCATGATGGTAGCAGCTCATTCTCAAAAAGCCTCAGGAGTCACAGAACACTGCTTTGCCCGGACAAATCTCCAAAGGGGCAAAGAAAGTTTCTGAGGTGTTCTCTTTTCTCAGACAAAGATAACATAACGTTTGTCAGTTGGGTTCTCTGGGAAGCAGCCTATAAGAAGAAGTTGGGGATATAAGCAGTTTATCGGGGAAGGAATGTCAGTTGTGTTAAATAACAAGCAGCAGAAGCAGAATTGGGCAAGGAAAGCCTTCGTACCATGACAAGGAGAACCTCAGACCTCAATTCAGGCCTCCCAGAGCTCTGCCAACCCAGATGAGAGCTCCAGAGTAATGACTGCCTGCTACAGGAGTTTCATGTTAGGCAGAAATGGCCAGGCATAGTCCTCGTGCCCAGCGGCAGTCCTCATGCCCAGCCATCGGCTAGAGGATGCTCAGGAGGAGTGTGGCCCTGGCTTGAAAGCGGAGCTGTCCTGAAGGTGTTATGGCAGGACACTATCAGCTGCCTTCTCTCATGCAGCACAATGGCAAGTTCTTTGTTTAAGAGAGATCTGAGCAGTGCACCTCCACATCTGCCCCAACTCGCAAAGTCTAGCACAATCCTGGAGTCACATGCAACATAGCCAGAGACAAATAAGCATGTCTCTGAGAGAATTGAGTATCTGGTTTTATTTGCACTGGGCACCAAAGTCTTGATTTTCATTGTCAGGGAGAGTCTTTCCAAGCAGGAGAATCTTTTTTCTTTTTTTTTTTTTGAGACACAGTCTTGCTCTGTCACCCAGGCTGGAGTGTAATGGCGTGATCTCAGCTCATTGCAACCTCTGTCTTCTGGGTTCAAGTCATTTTCCTGCCTCAGCTTCCTGAGTAGCTGGGATTATAGGCCCACGTCAGGATGTCTGGCTAATTTTTGTAATTTTTAGTAGAGAGGGGGTTTCACCATATTGGCCAGGCTGGTCTGGAACTGCTGACCTCAGGTGATCCGTCGACACTGGCCTCCTGAGGTGTAGGACTTTAGGAAGGTGACTGAAGGGTTTGTTGAAAATGACTGGGAGACTGAGTCCATACTCTGTAATGATAATGATAATAAGGGGGATGATATAGAGTTTCTACATGAATATAGAATCAACAAATTACAAGGACTACTTATTAGGCACTGATGTTAGAATCTCTCTCCTCTGCCCTTCAGTAGCTGTAGCTTACCCAGTGTGAGTGTGGAGTCAGCTCTGATCCCACAGTGACTCTTCTCCCAGGAATTCTTTGCTACGTTCCTTACTATCTTCTCATAGGCAGTGAAAACCAAGGCACATGCTTCTTGCTTCAGAGTCTATCACTAATCATGTGGACAATACATAGTCTTTTCTCATGAATTTATCTAGAGGAGATGCCGAAAGTGCTTCATCTTTATCACTTGATTTCTATGGAAGCTGAATTTTACCTCTAACGAACCGTCTAAAAAGCTACCTGTGTCCACTGCTTGCAATGACAATGAATGTGGGAGCTGCTGTTTTCTAATCGAACATGCTGGTCTACACTTATGCTAGAAAAATATGTCCTGCTTCAGGGTGGCCATTCTTTGTTGTAAGTCAAGGAAGAGCATCTGAGTCCTGATTGGTAGGAAGAATCACTGCCTGTTGATGTACAGACAGAATACCTTTGTAGCTCCACTATACTTTCTGTGTAAAGTATTGAACACCCCCGACATCAGTATTCAAAATTAATTTAGGGCAATGATGGAGCCTTCTTAGAATCCTAAGGCTATTGCATCAGAGCTGTGGGATATAGGACATAGTTTCTTAATAACTTGTATAGGAAATATATAAGTATAGGAGTCTATGGACTCAGTTTTCATGCCTTTGAACATTGTGAAATATGACCTACCTCAAAGGGGTTTTATGAAGAATCAATGAAATACTGTACAAATGCTTGGCGTAAAGTGGATTCTAAGTAAATGGTAATTGATATGTAATAATTTTCTTAGGTAACTTGATATGTATTAATTTTCTTTTTTTTTTTTTTATTTTTAAGATGGAGTTTCGCTGTTGTTACCCAGACTGGAATGCAATGGCATGATCTTGGCTCACCGAAACCTCCGCCTTCTGGGTTCAAGCAATTCTCCTGCCTCAGCCTCCCAAGTAGCTGGAACTATAGGTGCGCACCACCATGCCCAGCTAATTTTTGTATTTTTAGTAGAGATGGGGTTTCACCTTGTTGACCAGGATGGTCTTGATCTCTTGACCTTGTGATCCACCCGCCTCGGCCTCCCAAAGTGCTGGGATTATAGGTGTGAGCCACTGTGCCCAGCCGATATGTATTAATTTTCTTCCTCTGCTTTTTCCTCCTGGGTTAAGTTTACTTGCAATGCATTTGGGAGATAGCTCCCTCTGTCACTCATTGAAATAACTGGATTGAAATTTTGGACTTCTAAATGGATTTGTACAAATATTGTCTTCCCAGGACTGCCCTTCAGTCTTTCAACCTCAGGTCCTTTGGCAAAGTCCCTGGCAGCAATGAAAGTGTCCTCCTGGGAACGGGCTGTCATCCTCATGAATGGTGAGCTAAACAGACAGAGGAAGGCAGGGCTCATGCCGAGAGGACCAGCCATTTGCCAGCCCCTCCTTAGCCCAGCACTGCATGCTCTGGGATGATGTATAGCCACATGGTTAAGAGAGATCTTGACTCTGAGATCCTCAGCACCTCGCTCTCCAACCCTTTGAAGATCTGAACTGAAAATAACACTTGGCCCCCAGCAATAATAACACTCATCTCTCTCTGTCCGAGAATCTCTAATTAGCTAGGGCACTTCCCATGTACTATGTCATTTAACGATACTCTGAGGTAAGGGTGATTATTTCCATGTTAGAAATGGGGAAATTGAGGCTCAGGAGTTCCTTGCCCTTGGTCAAACAGTTGGTGAGTGGTAGGCCTGGGGTGTGAACACAGGTGTGTCCTTTCCCCTACATGCGATTCTCATAATGAGAGTGATCCAGGAAGTAATGAAGCCAATTGCATCCCGTGTGAGGGAAGAGCGTCTGCTGAACAGATGCCCGGATACACTGGCCGAGGGCCATGAGGACATAGCTTTTTCTTGGCGATGAGGGCAATCTCGAGAGACTGCTCCATGGCAGAAATGCTTTTACCATGAGTCACCCCATCACTCCTTTTGGACAATTTATAGCTAAGGAGCTACAGCAATTCACCTGCCTCCTACATGTTTAAGCCCTAGCAATCCAGCAGAGTGATTCTGTTAAGCAATATCCTCCTGGCAACATGTGCAGATTATAAGAAATCTTGTGACCTTTGTTAATCAGCACCCAGGTAAAATTCAGCTATTTATGGGATCATATAGATATACTAACATCTCCAGATAACGTGCTTTTTTTTCTTGTTAATTTAAGAAAATTTCTATTAATATTTCTTCTCCGCGTTCACTTTCAAGTTTGAAATCCAAACCCCTGATAAAGGCACCCCCCAACTGTCCATGATCTGGCCTTTGCCTACCTTCCTCTCGATGTTGTCTCTGAACTGTTATCTCTTACAACTCATGCTCCAGCTGCACTGGCATCCTGGGAGTTCCAGAAATGGCCATACTGACCCAGGTCTTTGCCCTTTTGATCCTTTTCCTTAAAAAGCTCCTCTTCACTTTGTCTCCTTGCCTAGTCCTTGAATATTTCCCTAAAAAAGTCTCATTTCTTAGACTCTCTTCCTTGGGGAGTCTTCCCTGACATCTTTAGTCAGGTTTAGGTTCTCCTTCCTTCTCTTGTCCTCCCACAGTATCTTGTAAAATACATAGATTTGGCAAAACCCGCAATTACTCTTGCACCAATCTAATGCCAATGGATCCATATCTGTTTGCTGGAGTCATCTGCTCTCTCTGACCTCTTCTGCATGAGTTCATATGACCCTCATGGGAGGTAAATGTATTATTCTCTGCGCACCCAGTGGTTGTCAGATAGCCTAACTCACAGTCAGTGTTCAGGAAACCTTTGAGGCATTAACCACAAGGCATGCTGAAGTCTCACTCGTGGGCTGTGGGGAGGGAGAAGAGGTGGAAGCAGGTAGGACTGGAGGGAGGAACCCACCAGCCTTTATGATTGGCCCTGAACACAGGGTCCCCAGGATCACTGTCAAACTGGGTAAAATGCAAGTCAGATGAAAACTGGTAAATGCAAGCTCGATGCAAGCTCGCAGCACTTCGAGGAGGACTTTGTCTAGATTCTGGGGTCTCGGGTTTTAGTTGGGGGATAAACAGTCAGGTCATGATGCCAGATGTGAGGATCTCTTGTTCCTGCAAGAGAAATACATCAGGGATTCACAGGATAGCAGGGCCCCATTGTACAGGACCCCTTTAATTAATTAAATTTAAATTAATTTAATGTTAGATTAAATTTCCTAAAATTTTTGAGAGAATTGTAGATTCACATACTGTTGTAAGAAATAGGACAGAGAGATCCTTAAAGTGGGCATCACACAGAGGAAAGTGTCCTTGATCTCGCTCAACCCAGGAGAAAAGGATCATTTGGCCGACCATTTAGCAGACTCACTAAGTGGAGCCAGTGCTGGATGGACCCTGTGCTGATGAAAGGCACCTAGAGTCTGACTGGGTCCAGTCACTCTGCCCTTGAGCACTTGCAGTCTAGGGAAATTGAGGTAAGAATCATAGTGTTAAATGCCGCAGCAGAGAGACCCTGTGCATGTGGAAAGCATCAAGAGGGATGGATGTGGATTCTGTTGGGTTGTGATGATGGCGGTTGGGTGGTGCATTATGTTGGTGTCATGGGATGAAAGGCTTTTCAAGCATCAGTCCTGAGGCTTGACGACACATCCTTCAATTGGAGAAGGGAGGCTATGAGTACCACGATGGGAATAGCATCAGCAAAGAGACCAGGCCACTCCATAGCCTGGCGGGTGTCGGGGTGGGCGAGCCATTTGTCCTGACTGAAGGCAGTGTCTGGTGGAGGAGTAGAGGAAGGGAGGCCGAGGCAGTTGGCAAGGGAGATTGGGGGGTCTGGTTGAGTTGCTCAGGCATAATCCTGTGGGTAACTGAAGTGAGCTGCAGCCCTAAAAGATTTTTAAAAAGGGAGTTGCTTGGTGAGGTTTGGATTCTGAAAATTTACTTTTGTCAAAGAAGCACTTCCTTTAGGTCTATAGTTTTCCCCTGGGTAGAGAATAAGGAGCTGCTTATGGCCTCCTGGGCAACCTTCCTGGGCATCCTTACTGCCAACCTCAGTCCTACCTCACACAACCCCAACCCTACAGATTACAATCCAGGCCAGGTGTGGTGGCTCACGCCTGTAATCTTAGTACTTTGGGAGACCGAGGCAGGTAGATCACCTGAGGTCAGGAGTTTAAGACCAGCCTGGCCAACATGGCAAAACCTCATCTCCACTAAAAATACAAAATCAGCCAGGTATGGTGGCAGACACCTATAGTCCCAGCTACTTGGGAGGCTGAGGCAGGAGAATCGCTTGAACTTGGGAGGCAGAGGTTGCAGTGAGCTGAGATCAAGCCACTGCACTCCAGCCTGGGCGACAGAGTGAGATTCCGTTTAGAAAAACAAAATAAAATTACAATATAAATTGTCCACCAAGAGCCCCCAGTTGCTTCACCAAATCAAGGTCCATGCCTCTCTTTGTGGTAAGTCAAATTGCCTGTTTACTTTCTCTCTGGCAGCAGGATCAGTTGTAGGGGCAGTCTGAGCTGGATGTGGGGAGAGAGATGAACTCGTAAAGCCCCTCGGTCTGGAATTCCAGGCTCCCTCTTGGAAGCTGTGCGCTTTGCTTGCTGTGTGGTCTCAGACTCATCCTCCCATCTCAGTTTCCCCATCTGAAAAAATGGGAGAACAATATGTACCTCTCTGGAGTGCCTCAAGAATTATTAGTCATGCGGGAAGGATTTGGAGAAGGCAGATGAAAGCCTTCTGCGGTGTTCCGCAGTCTGCAGACCTGACTCTGGCAGTGTAGGCAGATACGACAAGCTGGCAAGAAAGAGACAGAAGCATGTGTGTTGTGAATTAGCTCAGTCTTTGCTCTTTCTCCTTCCTTGGGATCACAGATTTGCTTGTGCTCCAGCCTGGCAGAGGTCATTTTTCCAGGAAAGCGTCTTGTATCATCTGGCTAGTAAGTTTTCTCACCTGTAAAATGGAGCTCTGAAGTCCGTTCCTCATGGGCAATTTGAGAATAGTGCTTGGCACATAGTAAGTGTTCAATAAATGTTTGAGATGAAAAAAATAAAAATAAAAAGATAGTAAGCATCTGAGGCGTTTCAGATGCATAGAATTCATCAAATTCTCCAGAGGCTGCAAGGAAAGAACCAGAATGTAGGATTTGGAGCTAGACTAGTGTGGGTTCCAAATGTGTGCTCATTATTTACTTGTCAGGCTTCAGGGAACTCGCTCAAAGAGCCGTGATTTTTCTCATTTGACACGTGGCAATTTGACCCTCTGTCTTATCAGATTCCTCTTCTGCTTGTGAAGGTAAAGTACGATCACATATACATATAAGTGACCAGCATGTGGGAAGGGCCTCAGTGCTGAGTAGGTGATAATTTCTTTCGCTTTGGCTTCTGCTGCTTATATTCCCACACCAAGCACCGCTCCACACTGGAGACAGATGACCTGCCCAGCTGGGTCAGGGGGGACACAGGCTCTCATCTACATGACACAAAGTACAAAGCCTTGGCTTTGCCGTCCCTCCGGATGGTCAGGCAGCTGTTTGGAGAGACAATCAAAGGTTTGCAGCTGCAGCTCTGGGCCACAAACAGACGGCACAGTGCAGCCCTGTGGGGGCAAGTGCCTTTGGGAACAGAGAAGTCACGCTTTCGGGGACCTTCTAATGTCTAAAGCCCATTTCCGACTTTTAAAAAACAACTGATTCTGCTCTCTAACCGCAAAGAAATTGGATACCATAGTCCCGAATCCAATCATATCCCCTTCTCTTTCATAGATTATTTTCTTTAGGGACACAACATTGGAAATTCACCATCATCACTAAGACATGGGAGTCTTATAGTCTTTTTAGGGTGAGATGCAGCCAAGACCCCCAAAAGCCAAGCCCTGTGTTCCAGCTATGGGAAAACTGGCAATCCTTGTGGAGCTCAGGGAGAAGCCAAGTAAATCCACTCATTCATTCATTTATTAATTCCTTCACTTG